CCTTCACATGTGTGGCATGGCATGCATGAACACTTGTGTACACACATATATGAGCATACACACATGCACACACACAATAAAGAAATGCAGTAAAATAACAACAAAAAGTATAGTATAGAAAATATACAGGCCAGTACTATGGCTATTTATTGTCTTTATCATTCATTATGCACCATCCTTAGCAATGGAGCTATTGGCAGTTGACGGCTGCTGAGAGAATGAGTCTCTTTTCTTTGGGAACCTGGCCTCCAGCAGATTGCCCATGCCCTAGTGGATGGCTCCACACACATGCACATGTAGTCAATACTACCTGGACTCTGGGGGTTATTAATAATAATTTTTAAAAAATATTTTAGTTTTGGCTGGTTATGGTGGCACACGCCTTTAACCCCAACACTCGGGAGGCAGAGGCAGGCAGATCTCTGTGAGTTCAAGGCCAGCTTGGTCTACATAGTGAGTTCTAGCTGGGGCTACAAGGAGACCCTGTCTCAAAAAGACCAAAAAAATTGTTTTATTTTTATTTTATGTATATGAATATATCGCCTGCATGTAGGTAGGTGCACCCATGTCATCCATCGTCCGTGGAGGTCAGAAGAAGGTGTTGGATACCCTGAAACTAGAGCTATGGATGGCTGTTAGCCACCATGTGGGTGCTTTAACCACTGATCCATCTCTCCAGCCCCTATTAATAATAATTTTTAAGAGAAGACATGAAAGGAGGTCAAGAAGGAGAGGATTGGGAAGTCTCAGAGGAGGTTGGAGGGAGGCAGTGAGGGGTGGAAATGTTCAAAATACATTGTATACATGTATGAAATTATCAAACAACAAATATTTTTAAAGAAGTGATGTATGTGGGTGTCAAGTTGACAAATGGTGGAGTTGTGATGGTTAATATTAATTGTCATCATGACAGAATCTAGACTCACCTGGGAGATAAACTCTGGGCATGCTTGTGAATGATTATATTGATTGTGTTCACTGAAGGGGGAAGACCTGCACTATGGAGGGTCCCAGTCCGCAGCTGGGATCCTGGACTCTAAATGGAGAAAGGGAGCTGAGCAACAGTATGCTTTCATCATTCCCTGCTTCCTGATTGTGAGTGAATATGACCAGCTCTTTCAAGCTCCTGCTCCTGAATTCCTCTCATGATACACTGTACACTTAACTGTGAACCAAAATAAACCTTTTCTCCCTTAGATTGCTTTTCTCAGAGCATTTTATCATAGCAACAGAAAAAGAAACTAAGCAACATTCTCTTAAAAATTATTTGAGGGGTTGGGAGATGCCTCAGCAGGAAAAGCATAAGCATAAGGAATGGAATTTGAATCCCCAGCACCTGCATAAAAACTGGGTGGACATGGCAGCCTGCTTGTAATCCCAGCATGTGGGAAGCAGAGACAGGGAATCCCTGGAACAAGCTGGCTAGCTAGAGTGGCTAAACTGGCAAGTTCTTGGTTCAAGTGAGAAACCCTGCCTCAATGCATAAAGTGGAGTACAATCAAGGAAGACATCTGATCTCAATCTCAGACCTCCTCCACCGGAACATACATGTTCACCTAAACACATGTGCTTGCACACACACACACACACATACACACACATACATACTTGCTCCCCCACACACCTGAACCCATATCCAGAGATGTGCCCACACATTCTCACCTGCATCTATGCACACATATGTGCACCTACACACACGTGCACCCAGAAATACACAGCAGCACTTGCGCACACATGTATATGAACATCGGTACAGGCACTCACCCCACATACACACATACACATGCAAAAAATTATTTGACCATATTTTCCAGGACTGAATTTTAGACTATCCATTCCATAATATTCTATATCTCTGACAGCAGTCCAATTAAATATACATTTTAAAACAGATACTATCATTGATCCACTTGGAACCCTAAGTTAGAAGCAGGCCAGCTACTCTGAGTAGCTGATTATGTCGGCTCCCATCTGTTTCCCTCATTGGGTTCTTGTTCTCTGGGTCTAGATAGAAGACCGAATTATTCCAATTAACCAACTCTCAGAGAACCTGGGAAACAGAACTAATCCAATCCAATTGTCTCATATAAACTGTTCCTACAACGTTAAGTTACTGTGACTCTGTGCTAATGGAATTCCCTGAGAAGCTGTGCCTAATTCCTCTCTTTCCTAGCTGTGAGTAATAAGCAGTTTTACTTTTCATATCAGAGAGACAGAGACAGACAGACTGGGCAAAATGCTCTGTGCTTCCACTTTTTCTCTACAGCACTCAGACTCACAGAAGCAGAAAGTAGAGCAGTGGTTGTGAGGAAGGGGGACCGGTCGGGAGCTGCTGAGCACAGTGTAAAGTTTCAGTGACACAAGATGAAAACCTCCCAGGGACTTGCCCCTAGAGGTGCAGGACTGGACTGCACACTTAGAATCTTGTTGATGCAGTAGATTTCATATTCTGCTTTTCTTTTAATCACAGGAGAACAGCACACAGGCAAGGGCTGGTGCTCTTCTCTCTCGGTATTTCCTTCTCGTTGGCTCCTATCTGGAAAAGTTTCTAGTGTGTGATTGATGACAGACTGGGAAATGCTGGTCCCAAATCCCAGACCTCATTTATAAAGCTCAGGTAACCACAAAGTTGCAGAACACAAAAATGACTTTTATATCCAGTGTTAATTATCATCAAAGACCCATATTTTCAAATAAAAGTATAATTCTCACTTCCTATAAAAACCTGCTTTTTATAAGTGTTATAGAACATTAATGCCCAGATATCCAATTGGTCAAATTCTTCTTAGAGATAAGAGCCAAGAAGTTGTGATTTGCCCAAGGTCATTCAGCCAGGGGGAGACAAAAACACAAGCCTCCTAGACTGTAGGCCAAGTTTCCTCCGCTTTACCACAATGCTTTCCTGCCACCCTAAGGACCCTAACTCCCTAACTCATAGAAAGGCATTGAAATGTTACTGTCATTCCAGGGAGGAATGAAAGAAAACCTACATAAGGAAACTGTAAGGAGGTGTCAAAGAAGACAGATGTGATGAAAAATGAAAAAAAAAATTCAAAAAAGAAGAAAAATATCAGAGAAAAAAACCGTTGAAACAGACATTTGCAAAAATAAGTTTCCAGTTATCCTCGGAGCCCTGAGCAGTATTTGAATGGCTTCCAAAATTGCTTTTGACCTGGATGTAGAACAGAAACTTTTCTTAATCTGTTGAAAGTAAAATCAAATTTCGTATTAGGAAGCACTAGTTTTGATGAGGGAAGCTAAATAAAGCATAAGGGTACCAGTCTGCAGCTGGGGTCCTGAACAGGATTAAGGAACAGTAATATTAGCCTCTCTAGTGTATTCGAGAAATTGTAACTAAAAGGAATACATAGATTTTAGTAGTTTATGTTGTTACACAAAGTTCATCATTTTTAAAAGATTAACAAATGCCTTTTCTCTCCTTTAAATTTTTATTTGTTTATTTTTATATGTATGAGTGTCTTTCATGCATGTATGTAAATTCGCCATATGTAGACAATGTTCACAGAGGCAAGAAGGAGGTGTTGGGTCCCCTGTAATTGGATTTATAGACAGTTGTTGGCAGCCATGTGGGTGCTAGGAACTGAATACAGGTCCTGTGGAAGAACGGCCAGTGAGCTTATCTGCTGAGCCATCTCTCCAGCCCCAGAGTTCATCGCTTTAAACTTTCTTTTAAATAGGACCCCTGGTCACCCTACAGCCTCCCCATGATGCATCCACACTCACCCATACGCTCCTTCAGCTTTGTACTTTACATACACACCCAACTCTTAGCTTCCCCTTTCTCAGTCATTCCCCTTCTTACCCCACCCAAGATGAAATGAACTAGAAAAACCCTCTTCCCATCCCACATTGATTTTCTTCATTGATTTATGTATTTGTTATGATGCTTCTGGCCACAAGGAAGTGCGAACTCAAATCAAAGTTGCTGTGAACAATCACTACATTTATCATTCCCCATATCAAGCTTTGAGAAAGCTCCACTGGGCACAATAAAATTTTTGCTGAGTTGGATTGCCCTGGATCCTGGGTCTATTCTGGAAAGGATTAAGAAGATACAGAAACTGTGGTACTTGGAGTTTATAGGGCAGCCAGAAAACACAAGTCCATAACCCCCATACACCAAGTGATTCATACAGATTTTGCAAACTTCTGTAAGTGGTGGAAAGGAGGAAGGCTCTAGGACAGGAATGGATGAGGATTAATTACATCATAGGGAACATGGATGTGAATGCAGGTGAACTTCTCAAGGATGGGAAAGATTCCAGTAAATGGAAGTAGAGGAGAAACTCAATGTTCTGCCGAGTGCACATAAATTAGACTGATTGAAATAGAGTTTTTCCCTACAGGCAATGAGAGTCCTGAAGGGTGGATAATGCCCACTTCCAACCATGAAGACCACATTCAAGCTCAGGGACTCAAGAAACCCAAGGCAGCCCTGTTGAGTGGGGAGGCAAAATGAGTCCTCAGAAGAGAAATCATTGACTGGAAGAGTCTAGAATTAAATTAAATGAGTAGTGGATGCATAAGTGAATTGTTCCAGGGCACTGAGAGGCTCTCTTCTGGAGTTTCCAGTGGTCTCTGGAAACAGAAGTACTACCATGAGTTTTACAAAGGCAGGAATGCGGACCAAGGAACAGGGAGAGGAAGGCTGGAGCTTTTCAGTAATCTTAACTCTCATCCCATTTCTGTGTTGGCTCAGTGAGGGGGAGAGCTGCTGGTTCCTGCGGTTTGGTTTAATCTAAGAACAGCTATGGTACCTGCCAGATGTATGCAATATAAGACTTAAGGAATTATAGACTTGTAAGTTTATTATATGACTATTTGTTATGAGCTAGATTATTCCATACTATCCCTATGTCTTACATAACGATGTCTAAATAGTCAAAAGTTCCAGAGCTAGCTATTTGCAGTGATGTCTGGCTTGTGGGTCAGTTTCTTGGTGATTCTTTGGACTTGTCCTTTAGGCTTAAAAGAAAGAGATACTTACCTGGCAGGGGAGACACCATGATCAAGAAGGTAGTTTTCCCAGGCGAGGCTTATCTATTGTACTCCAGATGTGCTGACCCTTGTGATTTCCCCAAATGCAGGAAATTCAACTGCATAATTTGTGGTATTGAGGGACTGTTTTTATGCTCTGTTCCTGCTCTCCAGAAAGAAAGAGAAAGGAAGAAAGAAAGAAAGAAAGAAAGAAAGAAAGAAAGAAAGAAAGAAAGAAGGGAGGGAGGGAGGGAGGGAGGGAGGGAGGGAAGGAAGGAAAAGAGAAAGAGAGGGAAAAGAGTTGAATAGACCATGTCATTGAGATGCAGACATATCAAAAGACAAAGGTTTTACATTTCAAAATACAGTACACAGGCATTTTCTCTTGTAGTTGGTGGAGTTTAAATTAAACCATTCAATAATCTCAGCAACTTGGACCAGGAGAAAATTGCTCAGCAGTGAGGAGCACTACAACTGCTTCAGGTACCATGAGCCCACATGACATACAAAACAAGAAAGAGGTGAGGTTCTCTCTCTCTCTCTCTCTCTCTCTCTCTCTCTCTCTCTCTCTCTCTCTCCCCTCTCTCCCTCTACTCTCTCGCAGAGGGAAAAAATTAGAGCTACTTTTTAACCACATTACAGACTTCCCTAACATCCTCTCAACCACAGCTGTTTTATAAGCAGACACTTGAGGTGCCACGAAACTGAGGAAGGAATGTTTAGTGCCTGCAACCTCTCTGGTGGTAGGATCTGCCCACTGAAGAGGACGACTTGGAATGAGGGTGACCCAGACAAGCAGATGTGCCTATTAGAGCCATGGAGGAGGCGTTCTGGGGCATAGTGTCAGAAGAAAAGCCCAGATTAGATTACAAAGTACCTGCAGTGCCTTGCTGAGAGCTTAGAATTTATTTTAAAACACTGGGAAACTGGCATAAATTTCAGTGCTGGGGAAGGAACTGATGGTTCTGAGTTAAAAAAAAAATCTGGAGGCAAAGGTAGGAAAGGATTTAGAAATGATTAGATGGGTTAATTTGGGACACAGGTTGCTCTGTTGGGGACACTTTGGAAACCCTAAAGGAATAATGATTCCAGCCCACACTATAGGAACATATAATTAGACCATTCAGGAATAACTAGTGTTTATTTAGTACTTGACAATGAGTCAAAAAAGTAGATTCTAGATCAGTTTTTCTATTACACAAAGTCACTGCCTTTCCCTGAGCCTCAGTTTCCTCATCTATAAAAGGTCTCTGGAGTGTGAACACCCCCCACATACCTCCTTCCTCAGTCATCAGAGAATAGTTCTTTGTAATGCTATGGTGATGTGTGCCTTTAATCCCAGCCCTCGGGAGGCAGAGGCAGGTGAATCTCTGTGAGATCGAGGTCACCCTTGTTCACATAGTGACTTCCAGGTGGGTTATGACTAGGGAGACCCTGTCAAAAACAAAAAACAGTCAACAATAACAAAGAAGAATAGCTCTTTGTAAGGATTTCTATTCAAGCAGATGATATCCACACACCCTTTAAGCGAGGAGGCCTGACAGATCCTAGTTGAGTCATCTCCGCTTTGCCACTCAGCTGAATGTGGCCATGTTTTTCCTTCAAACATCTGCATCATCATTAGTAGTGTCTATCCTTCCTAACACAATGGGCTTTATTATCATTAATGATGATGATTATTACTGAACCTGAGAACATTTGTTTTGTACTGATAATTTATTTCATGTCTCATCAACTCACTTCTTCCCAACACATCTCTGTTTATCTTTAGACTGTAGAAGGAGGGGCACCAAACTGAGAGTAAGGATCTCAAAATACTAGTGCTATCCTTTGTAACTGTGTGCAAATCATTTTCCATGTCTGCCTTTCAGGATGGGCAGAAAGATAGATTCTCATATTTGTAGCTGTAAATCATGAATGAGTACGAAAATCACATGGGACTGTTCAGAGGGCAAATCCAAGTACCCTAGCCTAGACCTAGGAAACCTGCATATCCTAGAGTGAGACCTGCCATGTATTAAAAACTGTACATAGGAGATTTTTGGTGGGCCCTCTAAATTCTCTTTACTTTTAGCCAAGTAGATAAGTATTTAGAACCTACTGAAATAAAGAGAAAAGAGAGTTCGGTTCTGCCCTTAGGGAATTTAACAACAGAAGGAGAAGATAAAACTGAAAACAGACATCAACTGTAGAGGGTAATACAAACTGACGGCTACAGGATGCCACCTAAGATGGCAGTATATCTCTGAGAGACGGCAGCACTAGAATTCAAGTTTAAGGACAGTCAGGAGTTAAATGACCTGAGAAGAGTTTCAGAAAGTGCAAGTAGACGTCAAGAGTTCAGAAACAGAAATCTTATGAATATTGTACAAGGAGACAGAGTCAGTATAGAACAAGGTCAGCAGGGGAGTGAGGGGAGGGATTAAAAAAACATAGGAGTGATGCTGTCTAGCATCTACACGTCCCACAGACCGCTTATATCCTCTTGACTTGCAGTATCAGCTCTGGGAACCATGAACTGTATTGCCTGTTGGTTTAGAAGTTAGAGCTGGGAAGGAGCAGGGTGTGCTCCAGGAAGAGTCTGACAGATAGGAAAGTGTTGTACTGTGAGCTTCCACAGAACGTGTGTGAGACCCTCTCAGAAACCAGAGGCAATGGGCAGGAATTATGGGTTCTGCTGTTCCCAAGTCTCCCTGCAGCCATCCCACACACAGCTTCAGGCTGCCCTGAGCAATTTCTCCTCTCTCAAGGCTAGCCAAAGAGAGTGTTTCATACACTATGTCTCTCTGAAGAGGACTTCCTGAAGTCATCTTGCCAGACCACCTATTTCAAGCTCAAGGTGAAATAACAACTCAGAGCTGTAGCTAGAAGGTAAAAAGATCAAGGACCTTGACACTTTTCAACCAAAGAATTCCTCTTTTCACACTTCCACCCTAGGAAAGCCATGAATTTTATCACTGGGGCACTAAAGGCCCTGCTCACCCTGACTGTACACCCTCTAAATCTGGATAAACGGTTTTAGTCCTGCCTACATCCCCAGCAGAAAAGAGACCATAAGAAAGCTCTGTGGATGCATCAACTCTGGGATATAGTTGTCTACTCTTGGAATGGCTGCAAGTCATGACCAGAATTTAAGCTGCCTCCACGCTGGGGAGAAAAAAAGAGAGAAAAGGCTGCTGGAGTAACATTTGGGGATGCTTCCTGACAGAGTGGGATAACCAGAGGCTGTGCAACAGTTAAGAAAGGTAGACGGGAATGGGGTTTGATGGCGCATGTCTTTAATCTCAACACTTGGGAGACAGGTGGGTGAATCTCTGTAAGATAAAGGCCAGCTGGTCTCTATAGCAAGTTCCAGGCCAGCTGTGGCTATAGGGAGATCCTGTCTCAAGACCAAAAAAAAAAAAAAAACAAACAAACAAAAACAGTAGATGGGGAAGAAAAGGTGTGAACTCAGCTGTTTGGAATGAAAATATGAAGTTGCTGCCCAAGATAGCAGCACTGTGGTCAGACTGAACAATTCGAGATGGCAGTTCAAAGAGCAGAATACAGATGAAAGTGAGCTCAATGTTCAGAGTCTGGGGTCCGTTGTCTGCCTTCAGGCATGACTGCAGAACACAGCTCTGACAAGGGAACACATTATGCCATGGAATTCTTTGGCAGTGCCAGCATTAAAGCCCAGAAACACCCACATGTATGCTCTGTTGGAAATGGTTTTGATTTGTTTTATTTCTTTTCATTCTTTCTCTCTCTCCTCAGACAAAGTCTCACTATGTAGCCCTCTCTGAATTTGTGATCCTCCTGCCCCAGCCTCCCAAGTTCCATCACAATGAAAAGTCAGAGAAAAGTAAATTTCCTGATGCATCCCAAACTTTTGGGTTAGTTAATATGGCCCTCCATTTATATTGAGCATTTGTGCATCTACAGCACTGGGAATCAAACTCAGGCCTAGTACATGGTCAGCAAGTGCTCTACGTCTGAGTTAAACCTCCAGTCCTTCTGCTGTTCGCTTGCTTGCTTGCTTGCTTGATTTTAGTGATCAATATTTAGGAACTTTGAACAACGGTTGTAGTCATGACTTCCTAGACCCTGAGAACCCTTTGGAGGGTTCTTTCCTTCCCCTTAGGGAAGTCTTTTAAGACAAAACAGTATGAGAGATACATTTATGTGGGATATGCTAGCCTGGGGTGCCTGATATAAGCCAGAATGCAAGTGAGCAAGCTCCTGACAAATAGACCTGAGAGATGTAGACGTTTGGAATGATCCATTAGACCAGAATAGAAAGTGAGTGCTAAATGGAAGGCAGGCATACTGTACAATATGGGGCCATTCATTTCCTTCGCCAGGCCCTCCACCTCCCATTCCTCCTGCCCCAGGGTGTGTGTGCCTTTGGAAGAAGACATTGGAATGACGAAACGTAAGTCCTGGTTCGCTAGGTCTTGTTAGAGAACTCATAATACTTTCTACTCTCCAAACATCTCCAAGAAACCAGACCTGGCGGACTTGCAAAAGATGCTTTTAATCAGAGAAAGAATAAAGAGAAGTATAGTTGAGCCATAATGAGACAGTGGCAAACCCTGGGAAGCAACAAAAAGCCAACCCCAGACGACAAGGTCCAGAATGCTCCACCACAAGGGCAATTAGCAGTGTACACTGGAGAGTAAATCAAGGCAGAACTCTACCTTGCTCCTCTACTCCTGACCTGTTTTAGTCAGGGCTCTTCAGAAAGCCAGACCATTAGAGTATATGGAAATATGTGAGAGGGACTATTATGGGAACTTGTTTGCATAATTATGGAGGCCAAGGCATGCCACAGTACTCAGTCCAAGCTGGAGAACTAAGAAAACGAGGAGAATAACTCTGTCTAAGGCAGAAGGCTGAAGAGCCTGGGAGGGGAGCGAGAGTATTAGCATTAAGCCTCTGAGTCGGAAGACCCAAGAGCCAGGGAGTTCCCCGAGTCTGAGGGTAGAAGATAGGTGTGAATTCCACCTTCTCTTTGAATTTTGGAGTATACTGGCTCTCAACAGATTGAATGATACCTGTCCATATTAGGGTGCATAGGTCTTCTTTTTTCAGGCTTCTGATTCAAACACTAATCTCTTCTGGAAACATCATCACAGACATGCCCAGAAATAATGTTTTATCAACAATCTGGATATCCCTTAAGTTA